TTTGTCAGTGTTCACTCGGCTGTCGACAGAAGCAGAACACTCTCAATATGTGTCATGCGATCGTCTGTTTATTCGGCAGCAACTATTGTGTGGTCCTCCTCATTGTGAGTGCTGACCACGTTTTCCGTCGATTGCTGCAATGGAAGCGCTGACACCCGTTGGCGAATTTGCCATACAATGAAACCACTGGAAGCGGTTTCCGTTCTGGTGGAGGAGGCTTATTGGATAGCGGAAGATAAAATGTTTATTGTGTTGTACCTTTTGACTATAGTTTTAAGATTATTGTATAGTAAACAAGAATCCTCGACTCTGTAAAGTTGATTCGGTTGAGCCTTATCAAATAAATTAATAAACAATCATGAATTTGTACCTATTGCCCGCCCCGCACCAAAGCCCCGGAGTCTAACGGTCACTTGCGTCGACTGAAACGGTATAGGGCAAAATCGCTACGAACTTACAGCCAAAATCGTTCGTACATTACGAAGGAGTTCAACCGCACAAGTAACCACTATAGGAAGTACAACAGATTCCTGTATCGACGATATGTCTTCCGTACGCAATCATCTCTTAGGCAGAAATCCAAACCGTTTTTGGTACTTTGTAAATTAATAAAAGAACTAAGTCGGTTTGCCATTGTCAGTTCATCTAGGTGAGCAAACCGCTAGCTCTGAACAGGAGAAATGCCTCCTTTGCTCAGTAGCCCAGTTTGTTTTATAAATTGTCGTTTGAAGCCTTCGTTTACAAATATACTTACGGCCATTTGACTTTTTTCGTCTTTGTACTAAGGGATTTTTTGAACCGTGTATTTTTTTACCCTATGAAAACTGAAAAATCTAATTTTATAATGGAATCTTAGTTGTCACCCATTGCTAACTCGTTTGTTTCAAATATCAATTCCCAAACAGTAAGGTTATTCCATTAGCTATGTCCACACCAAGAATGTCCCATCCATCCATTCAGACCCATAAAGCACGCATTGATGCCGCTGTCAATGTGCTTCACACGTTTCGTTGTTATTGTTTCAAATATCATATTTTCGTTTCACACTTTCCAAAACCGCAAAACAATACCCCCTCCAAGTGGATTCCACCACGTCACATCAGTTATTTCACCACCACCGCCAACAACAACAACAACGTTCCCTCGTGCATTAAATTGGACACATGAGCCCATCCAATGCTGTGAAGCAAATAAATACAGCACTCCCAGTCCCAGATTGGGCACCACCAATGACGATGACGACGACGACAGATGACGGACGACCGAATGCAACATGGGTTAAATTTTGACATCGAAGCGAAAGTTTGGAACATCACAATCAACCAACCATGGAACCATGCACCCCAAACAACAGCTCGGTCATCAAAAATCCGTACGGTCGTTCATGTGGGATGGTGGCAAGCAGCCCTGGCACGAATCCCGCCCATTCATCGGTCCGGAATTGGATTCCAAACGGGACTAATTTAATTACGGACACCGCCCACTTTGAAGTCACCACCCTCCTCGGCTGCGGGGAATCGCCTAATGACGATGCGCTGGAGTAGCGAAGTGATGGTATCGTAATACCATTTGGCGAAACAAGCCCGTCTATCTCGATTGGCTGAATGGGTGTAAATTTGTTCGGTTGGGCAGCAGCACTTCGGGACTTATTTTCTGAAAGGGTTTGTTAGGGTGAGATTTTTCTAAAATTAAGTTCCTCGAAATCGATTTTGTTGGACTAAAAACGGATAACTATTCATAAGTTATCGTGGAGAAGACAAAAACAACAAACCGAAGCTTCCGATAAGAAGTTCAACCCTTTTGAAATGCCATCATGACCAATATTGGGTGATAGTATCCACTTACTGAATACACAAGGTTCGACCAGAAAGTTATGATCTGAAGGCAACAGCATACCACCGCGGACGTGTCGTAATATAGTCAAGCCAAAAGAGGCGTAGTCTCTTGGATGCTAGTGAGCCAGTAAATTGAGTGTGGCTTCTCGTGTGACCAGACCGGAGTATAGGTTTCGCCATTCGCTTAAACAGCAAACCGGCTTAGTCGCTCATTGAAGTACGTAAACAAGCCTAAAGTAATAATGGCCAAACGCTATCAGTTCAGTTCTCACACAAGGCAACCATGTCTCGTCAAATGAGAACTTCATAATATCTTTATGAACCGGAACTGCGCGCCGCCCGGCCTGTCCTCAAGCAGTCGTTTATTGAACAATAATTGGCGAGGAAGCAATAAATCACTCCGGTCCCCGGTGGATTATGTCATTATTGGAAGAAGTGTGTTGGCGCACTTTACCGTTATTTGTTTTCAATTCGTTCATTTTCGCCTGTTATCGTGACGTGTTGTATCACATTCGCTTACCTCAAGGAATCGAAGGAAAGCAAACAAATAACAATGCTAGCAAAACATTCGATTACGCGGTGGAGACCTCGTTCTACATCAGTTACCTCGGCCTGGGTTTGGATTTTGGTTTGCAGAACTCATTGATGCATGTATTGTTTTGGGTTTGCTGTCGTTGTTTGCTTACGAATATACGAATCGATTCTCCGTTCACATATATCGACCTACCAAAATTGATTGTTTAATCAATACGACCACTATGCTCGAAGCGTGTGTTTGTTGTTGTTGCCTTTTGGGTATTGCCTTGGGGGGATTCAGAAGATTTTTATGGTCCTCGCCTTTACTGCTTTTTGGCGGTTTGTGAGATTGGATATGAACAAGACACTCGATAGATTAGTGCTGGGAGGGTTGATCTAAAATTGTTATAGACGGTACCTTTGAAGGAAACGGCATATTTGGAAATCAATTTCAGTTCGTAGTAACGATTTTTGCACATTGAATTAATTTAATTTGAGGATTCGGAATTGAAACCTAACAATACAGGGTGATTCGAAATAACTGTCACTTTTTAAAAATGGTCATAATAATTGAACGTTTGCATGATTTGTTGTTATCAGTATATTCCAGATATACTACATATCTAGATAGAGCTGGAATTAGGGCCTAACAGCTTTTGTAAACAATGACTTCTATCGACGATTTCTAAGAACTCAAGGCACGCCCACACAAAGCAACAAGTCTTCCTCTACCCTTTGGTGTTATTGATTTGCGTTGGCAAGCCCTAACTTTCTAGAAATCATCGAAAGAAGTCATTGTTTACAAAAGCTGTTACGCTCTAATTCTAGCTCTATCTAGATATATAATCTTCAATTAAGATGATGATGACAATTATCTACCACTCATTGTAGCATGGAAACTAAGTTCGATAGCAGTAGGCGCTCCTCACAGTTTGTTTTGATCAAGCTTAATAACCTCTGATTGTCCTCAACATGTCACTGTATGAAGGGCCAACAACGGGTTTGGTGCATCGATAGGTAAATTCACCTATACGCCTCCACGGAATGGTAGAGAATCTCCTTCCAGCCACATGATCATACAATTGGTTAAAAAAACGAGCCGTCCGACAGAAGGATACCCCAATGAGTGTGAAGAAGAACCCGCCTTTTTTTCACGAGATGTTAACAACAGGGAGTTGACAAGTTCACTCTCCCCATCCAAAATCACTTCAATCGAGTGCCCTGATGGTCCCTCCCAATCCAAGCATTGTTTTGTATATATGAGCAATAATAAAAATAAAAAAGATCTCACCAACTTTTGCTGTTCCTTCACCCTTCTGTCCAATTTTCGTGCCTATTTCTGAACTCGTTGTCCTTCTCTGCATCACTGCTAATCGCTACTACCCGAAAGTCTCCCATGTTATTTCTGATGTGTTCTACGATATTTCGGCGTCCATTATCTTTGTATGATGATCTTGAGTTCCTAGTTGCGTCTTATAAAACCGTAACACCAATGCGGAAAATGGACAGTGTCTTCGGGTATTTTCTTAACGAGCATCACTTCATTGTCTTATCGGATGTGCTCCATTTTGCAGCTCTTCTTTCATTTTTACTTTGTTGACTCCATGGTACCGGAAAAGATATAGATACATATATACATTATTCGCAATGATGTGATATAACCACAACGGGATGGCCGTTCAGAATGGTTCAACGGATGTGAAATGAGGGAACATTCAAATTTAACACGTTTTAAACTATTTCTATGCAACATCACATTTGTTCACTAAAAATTAACACATTTTTCAATATGTTATCCTAACTAATTTATGGAAGAATTTACTTGTGCTTTATATAATTGGTATCAATGTTTCTTCATATCGTATCTTCAAGTGATCTTCGCAAACGCCACATTTCTTTATGCTCTTTGGAACTAGGCACATACATACATGTGAAGAAATATAAAACGCAACTTTTAAAATGAATTACACATAACAATGTGCATCACTTACTCACACATGAAATCTGTCTCGACCATCCCGGCAGGACGCGTCCTAATCCTCACTGAGCCAAAGGGCAGGGAAATATAACCTTCAACTTAACATACTTTAATTAAAATCTTAAGAGATAAACTAGCCTATGGCTAAAAATCTCTATAATAAAGAAAAAAAAATTAATTCAAATCTCTCTCCCTTTACCTTTACCTTTAATTACCAGCCACATTTGTCACAAAAATGACACTGAAGCTGGCACGCACGTTTTAGTTCCTGCATTTTTGGGGTCCCTGCGATGCGTCTATGCTTTGATATTGAACGCATTTTCCACGCACGGTTCCTTTTTACCTCTATGATGATGCGAAACATAAATGTTTCATTCTTTCGAAGAGAATTCGGTTTCTAAAAGATAACACACGATTTTATACAGATTTATGAAATGCTCCATTTTCACGTCCATGGTTGCTTGAAATCGAAAACTAATGAAATTTCAAATCCTTCTATCAATACAAGTTGATATTTTTACACACTTTAAAACAAAAATACTTGAACATATACCCATTTTACCCATTGAGAATTGCATATTTGTGAAATCGGTGACAGTTATTCTGAATCACCCTGTATAGTCTACTAAAACATCATTGTAATAAACTCATTTTTTTCTCTTTTCTACCAGGTGGCGTTGCTATCTCCGATTGACATTGGTAAGTACAGTTTATGTCTGAACAGCGAATTGAAAATTATTACCTATAAATTACTTAACTATTTAATGCTTGCCATTCTGTGGCTTTACTTAATGAAGATTTGAATTTATGTAACATGTTGCAATATATTTTAATTAAACCTTTAAAATATGATTAGGCAAGATGTCTGAATTTTCGCTGTCTTTAATAACATGTAGGTATTTTAAGAATTGTTCATAACGAACAAGATCGAATTAACACTTTGAACACGCTGCCTCCGAAAAACGTGTAACGGCAAGTTTGCAATGACAATAATGACATAGCTTAGCCATTTCTTGATGATTTTCATAAATTGTGGTACCACTAGAATTCCTAATATCTGTAGATAATTTTGATTGTAAAAAGGTTGAAAATAGGGTTGTCTACTTTTTTTTAAAGTGTATAAGTACAAATATTCATAATTAGTCATGGTTCCTATTTAAGGACCCTGGAGACACGGAACAAACCTATGGAAGATCCGGAACATCCGTAAAAGAGGTCTACCAAACTAACCCTAGAGCTCCGCGTTTTTTTTAAACATTAGGAACTGTGATATAAGAATGAATTTGTGGTCGAGACATAAACATGGATCTGGATGGCCATGGGACCGTCCTCCGGAAGATCCCGAACATCCCCAAACGTGATAAATGCACGAAACTGTTCCTAGAGCTCCCTGGTTTATTCAAAAACGCTTGGAACTGTGATAAAAGAAAGATTTTGGGGTCTTGACAAAAACGTGAACCCGGATGGCCATCCTCCGGAAGATCAAGAACATCCGTAAAAGTGGTTGATTTATGAAACTAATCCTAGAGCTCCGTAGTTTTTTTTCTTAAACATGTGGAACTGTGATAAAAGAATTTGGGGTCGTGACATGAACATGGACCCGGATAACTATGAAACCGTACTCCGAAAGACCCGGAACATCCGTAAAAGTGGGCACTCTATGAAACTAATCCCAGAACTTCGCAGTTTTTTTTTCGAAAACATTAGGAACAGTGATATTAGAATGAATTAATGGTCGTGGCATTGACCCCCATTTCAAAGGCAGTTTCGCTAAATTTTAATTTCAAAGCACTGTCAGTCTTGTTTTCAGTCTTGTTTAAATACTTGAGTCTTGATATTGTGGTAAAGTTTTCTTTGTTAAGGCTTCAATAAAACTAATTAATTAAAATGCCTGATTTTTACCGAACAGTTCAGCTGTTGAAAATTCGGTAAAAATAACCGAAGCCGTTAGTCATTTCTAAGTGTGTCCGTTGTATCCAGGGGAACATGCACTCGTCTAATTTTGCATTGAAAATTCTATGTTAAATTAGATAATCTTTTTTTTTTTTAATTCTTTATTAAAGAGATTTTTTTTAGGCTAAATTAGATAATCGTTATAGGTCAAGTAACACAATAGAGCTCTCAGGTTTTTTTTTCGGAAATACTTTGAACTGTGATAAAAAAAAAAGAATGTTGAGATGTGGTAGTTATGGACATAAAAATGGACCCTGATTGCCATTGTCATTCCCCGGAAGATCCGAAACATCCGTAAAAGTGTTCAATCCACGAAACTGATTCCTAGAGCTTTTTTTTCGAAATCACTTGGAACTAGAGATTTTTTTAAGGCCCATGGTTCTCAGAATGCAATAACATTTTGCTTAAATGTATAGTTTATTAACAAAAGGACATATTAAAAAAAGTTGATTTATATTACTTCTGCGTGAAGTCAACGATTTACATAGTTGAAGATGCTGATTTCAAATAACAGACTATAGTGGTAATTTTTATACGATAGATGAGGAGATCAAAATATAGAGTTGATAATTCCGTTAGAATACGGCAGTGCGAAATTGTATATCAGGCATAACATTTGATAACGGCAAAAAAGCATTTGTAAACAAACCTTCTAAGGCCCTTTACACGCGAACCAAAGTACGCCCACGCAAACCAACAACATCATCGCATAGGGGCAACTATCACCTTTCCGAAAGTGGTATTGGTTTGCGTGGGCGTACTTTAGTTCGCGTGTAAGGGGCCTTAGAATGTTTGTTTACAAATGCTTTTGTGCCGTTATCAAATGTTATGCCTGATATATAGAGAGTAGAAAGCGTGCAAGGACAACTTTTATGAAGGTCAGCTAATCCAAACACATAAAGCAATCAAAGATACAGGCAAAACGGTTGCTACGACTACCATGACAAACTCGCTCTGTAACATAGCTCGATCCGAGTGGAGGAAGGATAATGATATATTGCTTGCCTGCTTTGTTGCAATATACACGGATGAGGACATAGCTTGATATCAATCGAGAAAAGACATAACACAAAAATTCCCATTAACACACGTGTATCATCTTCGGCTTTACTTCATGAAGCAGCTTGCCAACAATTTGCTCGTTTCCTTCTACCGCCCCGAGTGAGTTGTGTCGCACGGGCTGCTTGTCATGAAAAAGAATGAAGAAGATTATATCATTATTGCTTTCCACTTCTGACATAGCGTTATTATTCAACTCTATACTTTCATCTCCTCATCTATCGTATAAAAAGTACCACCCTAGTCTGTTATTTGCAATTAGCACCTTCAACTTTAATTGAAGTTTTCGGATTATCTCAAGCAAGGGTGTAGCCAGATTTCGAGCTAAGGAGGGGCAACAAAAAATTACTATGGAATTTTTGGTCGAATGCCATGTCACCAATATATAGTCTTTGTGTTGCTGAGTTTAGGGGGGGGGGGGCAACTGCCTCTTGTCCCCCTCTGGCGACGCCTATGATCTCAGGCATCAAGTAACTTTGAAAATTCATAACTCATAAACCTAGCATTGTAGAACAAATGTTAAATAATGAAATGATAACCAAATTATCTCAGCAACCCATATAAAATATAACCTGAAAATGTTTCCCCGATGGAGAAAAATAACATAGAAAAGCAGGAAAAACCTTTTTTTCACTGAAATTTGTTTTTTTTTTTAAACAAAATTGTCTTTTACTGGTGAAAATCTAAAAAAAAAATACACAAAGATTTTTAAAACAAGATGTTAAGGATATTCCAAGGATCGTTCTAGTGATATTGAAAACGATTTACGTTCCCAATTTCTGTTACGACATGATACAAAAAACAAAAATGCTGATCTATAAATAGATCTCTGGACGTTAAAGGTGTTTCTCAATATATTTTAATTACATCAACCCAACATTCTGGGAGATCTTCTTAACGAAATGTAGTATTTTTATTTTTAAATGAATTGTAACGACTAGCGCTTATCAAGAAAATGAAACCATTGTTATAATTGTATTGTTCAACTTTCAATTCACTTTTTATTCAAGTTCAGGGACGTAGTGAAGGGATGTCGAAAGCGGCCCACGCCAAAGGGTGACATGTCAGAGGGGCGAATTGAACGAGTTTTTATTTTTCTATGAAATGCATTACAGAGGCAGAGGGCAGAGGCGAGTTTCCACTCTTATTTACCAACAAAATTGTTCTTCAGAATGTCAAAAAATATACTCCACAATTGCGAAAACAAAATCTGGGATTTTCTACAGAGGAATAAATATATCAGAGTTTGTTTAGTGTTTTAGAAATAAACCTTTTGAAAACAACACCAAAGATATGAAAATAAATATAATTAGAAAGCAATACTTAAGTTTTCGAATTTGGATAAATTTCCGCGATTTTTAGCCCTGGGAAATTGACGGCACTTGATTGTACTTGATTGTGATGAAAATTTATATAATTCCATGGGAATTTTGAATAGCATTTCAAGAGAATTCTAGTATTATTTAGAAATGCCGCGAAGAATTCCAAGATACTTCTGAAAAGAATACCAAGGACTTTTCGAGAAAAACCACAGGTAAATTAGATGGAGAATCCCAAGGGAGTCATGAGTAGAATTTCATGGTAATTCTGAGAAGAATTTTAAATAGAGTTTTTAATTAGAAGTCCTACAGCACTCCAACGATGATTCGCTGGAAAATTTCAAAGGAACTTTAAGCAGATTTGCAGGTAAATTCCGATAGTGATTCCATTGAAATTGTTATGATAATTGGTGTGTGGTGATCAGCTGAAGGCATATGACGGGCCATATTAGAAATTTCTACGTAAGTGCTGGCCACACTCAGCACCGCAGTAAGGGGATGGCGAAAACAGTCAAAGGAGAAAAGCTAAAGCAAGTACAAGATTTTCTATTTAACGACTTTCCTCTTTAAAAAACCATTTAGATCACGAATCATTAAAAATATTGTTTCTAAAAAACTGTAACAGATTTTATGAGCTCTAAAAGTAAGACCATATTTTGAACTTGGATATCTCGAAAGATTTCCAAGGCTTCATTAAGACTTAAAAAGTTTTCCGAGCTAAATAATCAAGAAAATTATCCGAAGGCTGCTATGCTGAACGCTATGGCTAACACGGTTGAGTTTGAAAACTGAAAGATTGTAGTAAAAAAATCTTCTAGAAACCTTGAGTTTGAATAAAAAATTAGGGATGTGTCTTGAACTTGTATGAATTTACTGGAAAAAATGAAATTGAATTTCGATGAGAATTGGCATAATCCAATGATTATTCTGAAGAGAACTTATAGGAAATTCTGGAAAGTATTCTTAAGGAATTTCGAGAAGACTAGACAGTAATTCTGAAAAGAAATTGAAAGGATTTGTGAGGAAAGTTTCAGGAAAATACTTGGGTAATTTAAAGGCAGTAATAAGTAGAACTACATGGCAATTCTGAAGAGAATTCTAAGGGAATTGTGAGGAAATTTTTTTTTTCCTCTGGTTTGTTTTTTCCGTCGATCTTGTTTTCCGTGCTGAGCACCAATGCTACCGACGTGCCAGGAAGGCAGCTCCCACACCTGAACCCTTCCTATCGACCCATCAACTCATGAACCGGGGACCAACGGCTTTACTTCCCATCCGAAGGAAGGCGTGATCAGAGATGTTATGCCTCAGAACACCCCGGCGGCGCCGACTGGGATTAAACCCAGGCCTGCTGGGGTGAGAGGTAATCAC